TTCTTGCTATTTTGGTATTCAATACACTAAAGTCATTTAAAAATAAGTCAGTTTTGGTCACCTCTAACACTGTATTTTTCGTTTGAATTGTAACTGCCTGCTGACATGCATTGCAGCCAGTTAAAATGATGTTGCATTTAATCTTTTTATGATTATTCTCTGGGGATTAGCTAACTGGTACTTAAATCAACTCTTATTTAAAAAAAAATATCTGTGCAATACAGATAGCCATTTGTTTTTACCTACTTCAGAAAAGAAAGGAGCACTGTACTTGAAAGTCAATGAAGTTTGGTTTCTGGTTTATGTTTATCTGTTTTCAATATGTTGACTATAAAGGCAAACCTCAGGAGTATTATATACAAACCTGCTTTGATTTATTTGCATTTAGCATTGCAGCTTTGAGACTAAAAATAAAATGTGTCTTATTTTGATTTAGATCTGTCCCTTGAGACAGTGTGAAACCATGTATTACCAAGAACACATCAGAATAGGAGGATTAACTGTTCACATGCAGTTTAAACATCAAAGTGTTTATATGAAGTCATGGAAAATAAGTAATTTGTTTTGTCATTCTCTGCGAAAAATAGAATGCCCCTTTTAAAAGTAAATAGTCTTTATTTTAAAACCAGAAAGATTAGTAGCACTCAGTCTATCGAAGAGCACTGCTGTTAAGTAAAATGCCATTAATACTGCCTCAGACAGTACAATGGGTGTTTTTCCTCTTATCAGTACCATCAGTGCACTGGTCAGTACCTGCTGTTGCTTGTTATACAGAAGTAGACAGATGTGATTGCTGTCTTTAGGATTATTTTTATGTATTATGGCATACAGCTCTCTGATTTCTGGGAAAAAATTTAACAGTACTTAATTGGCCTCTATATCAGGTGTTTCTAACATCCTTTTCATGTTTTATCTGTGTGGCTAAATCTGTCTTTTTAATAGAATAGAGTGTAGTCATTAATGATACAAGTATGGCATTTGAACCATCTTGAGGAGGTTGCTGTGATTTTCGTTAATTACTAGGCCTCTTCTGTGGACCAGCTAAAAGCTCTTTCATCATCTTTCCCTCACATTCTTCAATGTATTTCTTCGTTGCCACCTTCCTTACTGAACCTCTCCTAACAACAAAAGTTGCTTTTTTTCTGTTTTTATTTGCACATCACTACCATTCTTTTCATTTGTTTTATGGAAAAGACACATTTCTGTCCCTGAAAATGTTAGTGTGTGAGTTATCCTATTCAAGTCCCTCAAGACTGCTCAGAAGACTGTGAGAATTTTACAGTATGTAAAAAGAACCGTTCTGGTCAAGACCAAAGGTCAGTCTAGCCCAGCTATTGACATTGCAACAATGGCCCAAGTAAAATGCTCAGGGAAGACTGTATGAGCAGGACTAACATGTATTTTGTTTCCCATTTATTCATTCTGATTCCAGCTGTTCAAAGGCTTCCAGACTTAATGTAGTTTCTGTGAATTTGGAACCATTCTATGGTCTTCCTCATTCATGAACTTGCCCAGTTTTCTGCTTAAAGCCATATAAAATTTTCTATCTTTATGTGACTTGTGATTTTGCACAAATTGGTAATTAGTCTTCTCAGGCATCTCTCTTACTGGCTGAAGAGTTCTATTCTTTAGAGTATTGTGTTTATAATTTCTTACTTGGAGACAGCACTCCATGGCTTTGAAAATTCTTGTTCAACTTCTCTGACCTTTCCCTTTTTCCCTTTTGAAATAAAAATCCGCATCTCCACTCAGCAGTCAAGATTACAATTGGATTAATGATTTGGGACAGTTATGTTTCCTGGCTTTTTTTATCCTTTCCTGATTATACTGAGTGTTGATTTCGGTTTTCTGATTGATACTGAGCACTGCATTAGCAGATTCTTGGTAATATGCATCACTACCCCATGATCTGCTTCCTGAGCAGCAATGGTTACCTTGGAGCCCATCATTTTGAATGTGAAGTTAGATTTAAAATTTAGGAGTCTAAAACACCTTTCAGAAATCCAAGTAGCTTGTACCATTCTTTATCCACATGATTCTCAACAAAACCAAAAAACCAAAGACTGAATATGCATCTAACCCAAAGGCTGGTCTCCTGCTTTCAGGATTATATTTAATAACATAACTAATAAGGATTAGCAGAGAAACAGCTAATTTTTTTTCCACTACAAAAAGTGCATGAAATAGAGGGGACATATTTAGGAGACACTTTGGAAGAACAGATGATTAACATCTTCCTTAAATTCATTTACAGACAGTGTTGACATGAGGTCTTGACATTGAAATTAGAGAAGGAATTGAAAAATGAATGGCTTAAGGCATAGGCTTAGACCTAGGGCCTGAGATCTTTTTCTTTTATGAGAAGAGATCAGAGGTCATCTGTATTAAAACAAGGTGGGTAAATGGATAGATAGGTATCTATATACATATCTTTGCAGACATGTAATTGCAGAAACAAAATAACAAGTCTCATATCCTCTATCTAATTTAGTTTATTGGTACTGAATATTGACTACAAGTTCAGTCCATGTTAGCTGCAGATGAATCCCATTGTTTATAAAATTTGACCTTTTATTGTTATGAATATTTCTTAAAACCTTAAAACCAGAATGTTAGGAACTAACAAAGAGGTAGACATCACTGCTTTCAAACAGATGGTGTGTCTTCATTTAGGTTACCTTGTTCATTTTGGATTCTACACTCCTCACTACTAGTCTCCATCTTTTTAAAGTTGATGCCACTTGTGCAGAGAAGCTTCCATTGAGTTTTCTTCTCCTGTTGTGACTGAAACTTTTAGTCTCTGGGATCTAAATGGAATGTTTTTGATGGTGGTCAGACTGAGATTTTCCAGAACTAGTAACAGAGGTTTTGTAATTAAGAGCAAGTTAATTTGGTTTGCACAGGCCTTACAACATAATATTTGATTTCAGGATTGATGGATTTTATTTGTTTTAAGATTTTGCTTTAAAGTACCAAGGCAGTAATATGATTAATGAAGCCCGTTACTGGTAGATTGAATACCAGACTCGCAGAAACTTAACCATAGAAATGTGATTTTGAGAATTATGGAGGAAATACTAACTGTTGTTCAGAAAGTACAAACAGTTCTGGTTTTACTTGCTCTTTGGCAAATAATAGAAGGACAGCCTTTGAGAAGCTGCAGAGGCATCTGACCTGTGGGACTGACTGTTCTTTGTGCATGATAACCAACTTCATCTGCACACAAAACCAAAACCATTATATTTAGTTTTTTCAGTTCTTTGCAGTTTTCAATAGGCTGCATTTTTTGTCTGGTGGGTGTGAATGTGAAATCTTAATGTTGAGGCCAACCCTAACTCTTCCTAGAGTGGTAATTCAATAGTACACACCATATGCCTAATATAGTATGCCTAATTTTTCAGTAGTACATACCATATGTGTGTGTGGTAACCAAAACTGCACACAGGACTCAAGGGGGTCATAAAAGGAAATCAGGTTTGATAATAAGAGGACTTTACTGTCATGAAATGAAGACAGCTGTGAGCAATGATGTTGTTGTCTTTCAGGTGTTTTTCAATACCTCCTAGCATAATCTATTCCATAACTTTACCACGCAGTAAAGGGAAACTGACCTGTAATTCCTGGGGTTCCTCTTTCTTGCCCGTCTTTAAAATTGTGACAAGGTTCGCCAGCTTCCAGTAATCTGGAACCGCTCCAGATTCCCAAAACCACTCAAAAAATATCAAGAGAGGTTTTGTGATGACATCAACTGGCTCTTGAAGAAATCATGAATGAATGCCTTCATGCCCCATAGACTTGTAGGGATGCAACTGAAGCAGCAAATCCCACACAAGTTCAGGGTCGACTGGGAGTTGATCATCTCACAGTCATGGTCCTTCTGCTCAGTGCACTGTGATCCCCTTGGTCGATCATCCTCTGTTAGAAAACAGAGGCAAAGAATGCATTAAATGCCATTGCCTCTCTCTGCCCTTGTTTGACCATCCTCATCCTGTAAAGCGATTAGTGTTTTCTTGCACTGCCTATTGCCATGAATATATTTTTAAAAACTCTTTTTATTTTCCTCCACATTTCTGGCCAGCTTCAATTCCAGTAGAGCTTTGGCTCCATGAATTTTCTCCCTACAGTGACAAGCTGTTCATTGACTCTCTGTTCTTCCCATATTAGTAATGTCTCTTATTCTAGTGCCTGGAGACAGCAGACTTCCCTGTGAGCTGGCTCCAGTCTGCATAAGGAGGCCCTCCATTTGCTTTAGAAGGGTGCTCCCTATTACAACTGCCCTTCATTTTCCTGTTAACAGAGGTCTTGGTACAGAGTACAGGTGGTGTTGTTTTAGGAGGCCACACTATCCCAGAAGGACCTCCACCCACCTCATCAGTAGTCTGGCCTTCTGGTTCCAGAGCCTCGCATGTATTGTAGAGGGTGCCAGCCCTGCCTGTCAAATTCTGAGAAGGTGGAGGAACCTTCCTCCTAGTACATGCTGTGACCTGCTTCCAGCCTTCACCTTTTAACAGACCCTTGGCTAATAGTCCTTTAACTAATTCCCCTGCAGGGTTCTGAGTGCATCAGCTTCTCCACTATAGTGGAGGTTCATGACTCCTGAGAGTCTTGGGACTGTGAGACTCTGAAAATAATCAGTTTCTTTTTTGCTTGTTTGCTCAAACACTGTGTAGCCTGTTCACTTCCTCCTGTAGCTGGTGATCAGCTCCTTAAGCACAGCTCACCTTCTGCAAAAGAATGGTGAGCCCCAGCCTCATGAAGAGGTACCATGCACGTGTGGCAGCCTCTGACATGGAGAGCTCCATCTCCCATCAGCAGGTCTGGCTGGCTGGCGTGGCTGCTTCAGTGAGTCCCACAGCCCCTTGTGATTGAGCTTTAGGGTGAGTCAACACCCTAACTGAGGAAGCTTGAACTAGTATGCTAATAAGACTGGGTTTGTAATATGTGGATGGCTGAAAGAATGGTTTTGTTTTTAATGTTTTAACTTGTGTTCTGTTCTTTAGAGTACCCGAGTGGCTTTAAACCACCTGGAGTCTGTGCCTGAGAAACTGAGCCTGTTAGAAGAGTGCAGAGATACCGGGGTAAGAAAGATTTCATTTAACTCTCTCAGTACTTCTAAAATGTTTTGGTTAATTAACAATATCTATGATGTACAGATAAGTTCTTTAATAAGATATTTACAGTTGCATATGTATGTATTATATAGACAGAAACATACTGAAATTTATTTTCATGTTTATATGGATCTTTTTGAAGTTATAAATTTAGTTCTAATTATTAATATGCTCCTTAATGTAGGCAAACATTGATAACTTGGCATAACAGGTCATGTGTTAATTACTGTTTCAGAATATTTTTATGGAGCGGTAAATTCTGATATTACATGTTAAAAAATGAAAATTTTATAAATGAATTATGCCAATTTTAACTTAATGAGTGAAAATAGATGATCTTTATAACTTTTTTGTTTTGTTTTGGCATAATTACAATGCTTGTTACTTATTTTTGCAGCACCACTATCCAATCAAGATGTGTTTGGACATAGTGGGGCATATTGACAGTAGCAATGACATACTGTCAAGAGTGATAAGGCTCAGGTTGGATTTTCAGTGGCTAAGAGCCTAAACCCCTGTACTTTCCATTTATGAAATGGGTGGTTTAATAGAAAAAAATTTGTAGCTTCCTTGAATGATATAAATTTTAAATCAGTATTAAACCACAGATCAACAAATGCATAATGATTTGCATTTTATTTGATATGTAAAATTTCTTAACCTGTGGTTGTCATAAATATTTCAAAATATACTTGTTTGGAGCATTATTTATTTTGTGTTCCTGCACGAGGTCATCAGATAATGATTCTACGCCATTTTATTGCTGTCATCATGAACAGATTTGGTAATGCACATACCAGTTAAAATATTTGGGTTTTTTATGAACAATATTGTTGAGATGTATAGTTTTAATTTCACATTCCACATATCCCCAGAAGAGCATTTTTGCTCTGACAGAGGTTTATGTTTTCCTTCTGTTTCTACTAAAAGAAAAATTTTGTTCTCAGCAGGCCTCTGCAATCTCCTTCACACTTGCCCTCTCACATTTAACACTACTATGAAATTCCACTGTAATTTTCTGGTTTGCTGTAGTTATAGCTTAGCCAATATTTGTGAGATTGGAATGCAAAATCTTTGGTTTCAGTCGGGCTTTGTCCTTCTCCATCATGCTTAATTTTTTAAATATGGTTTTCTGAAGATGAGCCCCTATCAACACAGTGTTTTGTTTAAGAAATAATTTATTATTCAAGAGGGCTAAGCTTTATGCCTTAGCTTTGAGAAGGATGTCAGTTTGGAGCTTCATTACTGTTTGCAAATAACATATTGGATTTTTTGTACAATAGCTAGCAAGTTCTTCCTTCAATGTTTTCATAGGAAGGGAGAAGGCGAGAGGAAGTAAGTTTTGGTAAACCTCTCGGGTTGTCTAGGAGGTTTGTTAATTCAAGTGAATTATGTTTTCTTGTGAAAATACTGTTTTGTCCATATCCTTAGAACTGTTTTTTCTTCAAGTGCTTGTTTCCGTAGTGTTGAAATTAATTTTCCACCATTGCAGAATTTTTCTTAGAAGGTATGTTATTGCCGAAGTTTGAAAAGTGTTACAAGAAATCATTCAACAATTAAGGATAAGACCATTTTCATTTTGATCTGCATGTATTTTAACATTATTTTTCTGTACATAGCATTATGCTTTTGTATGATGCTTGTAGTTCAGCCTCTGAAAGTTAGTCCTTAATTCATTCTTGCTGTAGTGAAAATTCTTGATGATATCTGTGTTTACAATAGTTAGAATTTCTAGCTACTTTTTACGTTATGAAATCATCTAAATCTTTAAATTCATTCCTAGGAGTCCCATTGCCGAAGGGAGATGATTGAGGAGAGGTATATGAGGTATAAAGACATAGTGACTTCTTTGCAGCAGCAGCTCGAAGATTCAAAGCAAAGAGTCAAGGTGTGTGTGTGTGTACTCCACTTCTGTGTCCCAATTGCTTTCAATCAGCAACATAACCTTACCTTATTAACTCCTAGTACAAACACAGACTGAAATCATGCATGAATGTTTCTGTTTCAAATAGCTGCCATGGCTGATGGCATGGCAGGCATATTGACATGGCATGAAATTTGATGAATTAAAGGTTGCTTTCATTGTACCCATGCCATGGATACTTTCCAAAAAATCTAAAAATCTTTCAGCTTTCACAAAAAGGTATCTTACTGTGTCTTACTTCTCTGAAGTTCTTACTGCTTTGTCAAATTGCTGTCTACAGCAATTTTTAATTTTTCAATTTTCTCTTGTCCTTTCAAGTAAAAGACACAGATAGAAATCTATTTCCCCTATAAAAAGGTTGACTAATTTATAAATTACATGTAGCAATTCTTCAGTAGTTGATATTTGCACTTATTGGAAGCAATTCTGTGTGAGGTCTCTTTCATACATAAATGAAATCCAGGCAAACAGAAGGGAGGTGATTTGCTAAAGGTCACTCACTGGACTTACAGCAGTGCTAAGCATGAATAACTAACTCCCTACAATACAAATCCAGTGCTCTTATTTAGAAATTTTGCCTGTAATGAGTTCAACTTTCCAATTATTAACATGCTTTCTTTCCCTTAGTAGCTTGTTCATTGTCATATCACTGTCATTGTAATAGCAGCTTACTTCAGCACAACTACGATTTCTTATGCAAGTGTTTGAAATAAGTGATCTGACCTGAAGAATCATACTAGTATTTCTGCTACGTGTCTCGGTCAAATCAGTTTCTTTGGCAATGCATCAAACCTGTGTCTCTAAGCAATTGAGCTCAAATTGAGGATCACACACTCTATGAAAAAGATAGAAAGATGTTTGTGTTCCCCAACTTATATGTAACTGTCTTCCTACTGTAAAATGAGGACATACTTACAGCATGTCTTTTAAAAAGTGGTAAAGCTAAAATAAATACAGAATGTTTTAGCTTAGTAAGTTGCTGTTGTGAGAAGGTACTAAGTTACTTGAGAAAGCTATTTTGCTCTTCTGTAAGAAAGAATTGAATGGAGGAAATAGGCACAATCAGTATGTTGCTGGTGATAATCTTCAGTATCTTGAATTTCTTTTCCCTCCACACAAGCATTACAAAGTCAGTAGCTACTGAAATTTGGAAAACATTGAAAACCTAAGTGGAATGCAATCAGCTGACGGTAGAACATAACATTGCACTAAGCTGACTGAACTTACTGAACTTGTGTGATTTGAACTCAATAATCAGAATCCAGTACAAAGCTGATTCCAAAACAATTCTCTTTCTTTAGACAACTGAGAGCATTTAATGGTTTCCATTTAGTCAGGCCTAATTGGGTTTTTGCATGACATACAGTACTTTTTGCTGTCACGGCTGCTGCAAATAGAACAGAATGTTCAAAACCAAGTAACAGACGGGTGCTAATCTGATTTCAGTGATCAGGCTAGCTTAGACTAAAAAAAAACCTTTTTAATGCTTGCCTTTCTTACCCTCCTTTGAAACTAACTCAAATGCCATTTATTTATTTATTTATTTTACTGTTTCTCAGTTGGGAGTCTCTAAAATTGATTGCTGGAAGACTGTAAGTTTGAGGACACCAAAGTTGATTCTTTCTGATATTTTTGGTTCACACTGTGTACATACTGCCCGTGCTATACAAAGTAGACAGATACTTAATAGGTGATAAGAAAATCCATGTTTCTATTAAAATTTTTACATTGATCATTTTAGATGGAATTACTTCTGATATTAAACTTCCTCCTCTGTTATGTTTTTCTTTCTAGCCTTTCTTATATTACACTTGTTTCAGCTTGCTTGCCAACATTGACCTCAGACAGGCATTATCTAATCTTGTGTCCCAGTCTTTTCATTTTAAGGAGGAAAAATTAAACCAAAGTTGAATGTTCCTCTCAAAGCATGTCTTTTTCTTTCTTTCTTATGATTTCTTTTGTCCCTACTCAATTTTCCTACTCTTCTGTAGTCTTGTCAGATGGCTTTAAAATACCTGTTGCTTAGAAGTCCAGAAAAATCATAATTTCTATTTATATGTTTTAAAATGGAAGATTTCCAGTAACAAAAGTAGGCCATAGGCTGGGACGATACCATCAGGTACAACAATCTTGATTTTTCAACGAAGAAAGGGCCAAATAATAGTAGATGAAGACGAAATTGGGGGAAAACTTCATAAATATAACATATTAAAAGAAAAAATCAACAGCAGCAAAATCAAAGCAGAAAGCCAGAGGAAAGCTAGAGATAAATGTTTTCAAGTAGAGATATAAATATTTTAGGAGAGTTTCCCTGCCACAGGTGATTGACCATCTACTCAAACACAGCAGATGTAGTTGTCCATGAAGCACATGACAAAAGGCACATTCTATACATTAATATTTCTGTAAAAAGAAAGCCATTTTGTTTTGCAGGTACTGGTAGAAGCACCTTTCTTGTTTAAAAACTCTTCTTTTAAAGCATTTCTGGAAGCAGAATGGAAAGACAAAAACGTTTTTTATTCTTTAAAAATTGTTATTGTGCTATGAACACTTTAGGTATTAAGTCTCTCATCAGCACATAAGGGGATTAATATGTATAATTCCCATTAGTCTTAACAGGAGTAAATCCTTCTTCAGTGATGGAACAAAAGCTTATTATATCTCTAAATTAATGTAATTTTTTTTTTTTGTTTAGTTTTCAAATCTTATGTATCAACGTAAAATTAAGTATCAACATAAATGATAAATTGCAAGATGTTTTAACAAAATTCCTTGAGGCTTTTTATGATAAGATTCAGCAGTAATATTGTTTGTTTTATTAATTGATGCATTTATTCATTATGACTTCTTCTCATTTCAAGAAACTGAGTAATTTGGATACCAAGCCAAGCTTTTAATCTCATTTTGGATTGTATTGTAACTGGGGACTACTTGCTGCAGAGCTAATAGAGATTTTTCAGGGATTTTTATTTAAATGACGTTTTTAAATTTATCTTCTCTTTTTAGCTTGTAGACCAAATGACTTTCCTCACCAAGAAGCTATGCTGTATGGGTTTAGCCATAAATAGTAACATGTACTTAAGACTTTATGTAATGGTTTAACAAAAACATTCAAAAGCACCTTTAAGTATTTTGACATGCGAAATCTATGAACTTTAGGTTTCCTCAGTGGCAGTGAAATTAGATTTATATTTATTACTACTTGTGAAATTAGTATGAACCATTCATTGATGAGGAAGTCATTATTCACTGATGTCTGCCCTGCTGATATGGTGTGTGCTGAGCTGTGCATGTGATGTGAATAGGAAACAGCTTTTTAGAACATGCTGTAGTGGCAAAGACTTGCAGTGATGCCAGTGCTTTTCTCAAGGCAAAGGAGTTTTTCACAGACATTTTATAGTGGTGAAGTGGGGATAAATTTGTAAGCAAATTTGAACCTAAGTGCAATACTGAGAATTCAGAGAATTCAAATCAGTCTTTTCCAGTGTGTGTGAAATCACAGCATATGCCTGTCTGTGTGCTACTAGCTTTTGTTGAAGTTTGCAGCTGCTTGATAGTGATAGATAAAATTATTTTTATCTGGTTCCCATAGGATGTGAAAATGGATGCTGAAATTTCTGATGTAGAAGTGGCTGCTCATTCTAGTTGGCGAACTCAAAACAGCTTTTTGTGCAGCTCACCGCTTTCAAGTTCAGGTTGTAAGTATTATATCACAGAAAAAAAACGGTAACACATTTTTTTCTTCTAAAAATTTTTTTTCCTGGATGAGTGAGATGCTGCTTTTCAGAAGTGCTGGAACCGTTTAAGTATCCTACTGTGTTTTAGTTTTAGATGCTAGATGGATGTCTTTGCCTAGGAAGTACTTCATTACATCCCACTGACAGTTGTTTGGGTTTTTTTGGCTGGGACATTAAATATATTTTGTTTATCTATTGCAAAGAAAAGGGCTGCTATTGAATTCTGAATCTCTGCTTAACAAGTCATCCCTCTGTAAGCTGTGTAGACCCTCTGGTCTTCTGAGGGACCACAGAGATATCCTCAAACATGGATTCTTTCCAAGATCTTTCATGTGTGCCAGTTAGTCCCATGCTTGTTGGGAAAGTTGAATTCACTAATTCTACTTCAATAGTGTTTTTAACTGTTTTTTCTCTACCCCCATGTGCATATTCAACTTGTGTTCATGTGAAGTCATGGGATCTCTGATTCGGCTGAGAAATGCTCAATAAAACTTAGGGCGTATTAGGTCTTGATTGGATATGTAGGCATGCCTTTGCATGAGTGTCACAAGTAACTTAAAACCCAGGCTTTTAAGGAGGTTTTTAAGCATATCAGTACAAGGATATCAAAATACTTCTCTTCAGAAGGGTATCGTCTTCCATTTATTTTCAGTATAGCCAGTTTGTGTACTGGGAACCTATTTAGAAAGTTGCATTCTCTTGAAGCCTATTTGAGGCTTCATTGCACTTTGAAATGTTGCATCTTTCTATGAGTGCTGTGGTACATTTCTGCTCACCAGTAAGTCTTGAGCTGATCTGATGAGGTTAAAGGTAATTGGTTTATCTTCCTGTCAGAATCTATGAGCTGGGGTTACTATCTTTTTGCAGAGCATATTGAATAAGAGTAGTGGGAATACAGTATAGGAGATAATACCTCTGTATCATCTGTACTGCAGGAACACTTTACCTTGACTCAGAGTTGATTTTTCTGTTTTCCTAAACCTCATCCCTGTCAAAGTCTTGCAAATCAAAGTACAGCTGAACCTGTTTTGGGTATAGAAAAGAAGTAACAGATGCCTCACAGAATATTCAGATAAATGGCCTCCACCAGTCCCTTCCAGTCCCAAGAATTTCAAAACTGGTCATTGCAAAAATTTACTGAAATTTAAAAATACAGCATAAGTGTTCCTAAACTATTTTCCTAAACTGCTTAGCCTGAATTAAACAAGGTAGGACTTTGTTGCTTTAAAACTTTTTAATAAATTTTAGGGAATTTTAAGAGAAATAGGATCCATGTGATCTGAATACCAATCTGATGAAGCAGTTGTGCATGTTTATTCTCTGATTCAACTGTTTTTTACCAGCACTAAGTATTAAATTTTCTGGAAATAAAAAAAATAAATGATTAACAAAAGACAGTGATGATTCAATTCACTACTTAGTCCTTATGGCACTGATGGATTACTCCACAGACTTTGGTTTTTGACTGATTGTCACTTTATGCTGAAACTGATTTCCACCAGTCAAATGTGTATTTTGAAGTTGTTGGTATAGTTCTTGAGGACAGTGAAAATTCTGCTGTGGTATTAGCATTAAGGAGATTTTTCAGTGAGTGGCAAATGAAAAGTCAGCTACTTCACTCATGATAGTCACAAAAACATAATGAACTTTAAATTTCAGTAATGGTATTAATTAATTCCCATTTGAGATTTTGACAGTGAAGTATAATTTGACATCTTTGCTCCCAAACTTACTGTAGCTTTTAATAAATCTTCCTATACATGTCATCATCTATTTTCTATGATTAATTGTCTCCTTCTTCAGAAACAGAAGGATGGAAATTTTTTTCCTTCATTTGCCTTTTGGAGCGGTTTGCAAGCCTTTGTGATTTATATTTCCCCATTCCATCTCTCTTCAACTCATGCAGCCTTACAGACTATAGATTCAATAACTAATACTAGAAGCTTCCTTCCCAATGTGGGTTTCCTATGACTTGTGGAGAGTACCCAGAAAGAGAGCAGACTCATTTGTTATAACTTAACTTATTTGTGAGGGAGATTGTGGGATTTAAGTTTAAAATTGGTTGACGAAAGAAGAACAAATAGTATGGGAAAATAAATAAGGGAACAACAATCTATTTCCATATATATACATATATGTTTACCAAAAATTTGCCAGTGCAGCAAGCAGTTAAAAGGAAAGTAATTAACATCAACATTGTGTTTTGTTTCTGGTAGAATTTCTTCAGTTATAACAACTTTTCCATTATAAACATATTTTAAAATATGTTGAGGGAATGTGCATTTATTTCTGTACCCATTTTCTTAGAAATTAAGAAGTTGAAATGAGAAAGTAATTTATTCAAGGCAACATTCACTAGATGTGGTTTCAGTCGATACTATTATCAGACCAGAATGGTTGGTCCAGCCAGTCACTGGTTGTTATCTAAAGAATAATCCTCAGAAACTATTTTTACGGCCACTGTATTTTCCTGAAATTTTGAGTACAAAAGTCCCTTGGGTTACACATGCTTTGCATTAACTTTGTGCATTGAGTCCTGCCTTTCTCTTTGCACATTTCATCACTTTGAGGTTTTAACCTGGATGGTTTCCCAGAAACCATATGTCTTAAAAGGTTTTCTATTGTTGTTGGGAATTTATGTTCCAGGGCTTCATAAGTTGTGATGGACAACACTCTTGTGTCAACGTGGTATGTAGTAGGACTGATACCACAGCTGAATAAAACCAAGCTGTCCTGAATGTAGGCTTTATTGTCAGAACAATTAACTTCTGCACTGTATTGCTGGTGCCTGTCTTTATCCCTCTATGTATAATTTTTCATAAATTCTTAAGACTATTTTTATTGGCATTTATAAATAATGTAATGTACTTACAAGTAAAAAGACATTGCAATGTGACTATGCTGTGGGCACCCCTCTAGAACAAAACCTAGGGCTGCTTAAGCATAAGAACTTGGAATGACTGGAAACTTGACATCATCACTTAGAAAAATGCAAATTGAATTAGTTAAGCAATGAACTTTATGATTTTTTGCCTTACTTTGAATACTGTCCACAGGAGGTACCACTGACAGCAGCAGAGCTTTGAACCAATTCTGAAAACTTTATGCTGAATACTTAGAACTCACTGTTATACCAATGTCCCGAACACAGTGATTTCATTCTTCTGAAAGTGAAAACATCTCACCCCTCCTAACCAAACTGTGAAGTCTTGCTCCTTGTTAAATAACTTTTGGTTATGTATTGCTACAATTTTACTGGATTGTTAGAAATTGCACTCTGGATATTCAGTAGGATGACTTTTCTTCCATGCTTGTGCTATAAAGAAGGCCATTAGAAGAAGGGTATATATAAGCTGCTAGCCACTTTCCTTCCCTTAGTTTCTGCCTTTTGCTAAATGTTTGGGTATTTGATTTTTTTTTCTTCAGCCTTTTATGATAAGATGTTTTGTCAATTCATATTGTTTGGATTTTGATGCAATGTAATATTTTTAGAAATAAGCACCGTATGTGTACCCTGCTGTGAAGGTATATACACAGTATGACATTGTATGAGCACCTGTTCAGTGTCACTTGGTGACTTAAGTCCATTCTGTTGGTAAAGATATTCCTTCACAAATTTTTGAGAGGTTTGTCTTATTTAAACAAAAATTCTGGAAAAATAAATGGAAAATATTTCTTAGTGTAAGAATCAAAGTTTTTTAAACAGTCTACATTTCTTGTGTATAAGAAAGCTCATGGCTATGCCTGTATTATAGAGTATTAAAATAGATTTCTCTAGAAAACAAAATATTATATTCTCAGTTATGAATATTGAATATATTACTTGCTGAATAAATTATAATACCATATAATGAAATACATGTTTTAAATAAAAACTAATGGCCAGTCAACCAAATCCAAGAATCATAGGTTTGAAAAGGCCTCTAAGATCATTGAGTCTAACTGATGTAATGTATGATTCTGAAAATGCTTAATCACCTTTTTTGTGTGACTTATTTCTAGCACTTACGAAAGGGATGGTTCCTTTGGATACAAGTGGCACCAAGGAAGATGCTACTAATGTTGCTGTTAGTGAAAAGAAGCTGCAAGCAGAAGGAGGAAAGCAGTAGAACATTTTATGAAACCACACCAGTTTTCTCTGTGGTAAATTCCATTCCACTTTTTTTTTGGTTTTGAACAGTAGTAATTCCATCTGCTGTAGGAGTGATGCACCCATAATGATTCAACAATTGCCAAACACTCAAATGAAAGAGCACCAAGACTAATTCTAATGAACTCTTTTGATAATTTAGGTGACTTGCACACCAAAGGCTTTCTGAGATTTTGCTATTCTCTTGTATTTGTTTCTGCAGTCCTCTTAGACTATATTTATTGTATTCCTGAATACTGTGAAGTGAAATACCTGTGACATTAATCTTTGCTATGAGCTTATTTACCCCTATACAGGAATTGTTCTGACACTTGTTTTTTAATTATGTTTAGTAACATTATTAATAATGAAAAAAACATTCAGAAATTGCCTATTACTATGATAGAGAATAATTATGCAGTGTTGTATAATTGTGCAGACACATTTGTGATTTTAGGTCCCTCAGTTTGAAAAAATCATTTCAAAAAGAAGTGATAAAACAAAATTTTCTCAAAGCAATTAAAAATTCACAGCTTGGTTTCGGGTTCAGCCTATATGTATTATAAATTGTCTAGAATTATTCTTTTGGCCAGAACACTTTTATTAGATGGCCTCAATTAGGCACTTTAAAGAATCTGAATCTCACCCGTCTGTATCAGGAGTGTTGAATGGCACTTCTTTGTGGCTGTGAAAATTTTAAAAGCAATCTTTAATGTTCATTTATTTATTCTGTTTTGTTCTCTATTAGAGAAGATGTATTATATTGATTGTAAAATACTATGGAAATAGAATATTGCTGATTTTTATTTGTTCAGATATCACTATTCTAAACAATTTAGACACAATTTTGCGTTACAGTGGTCTCAAAGAGCAAATCAAAGAATTTTCTGTGTAAGAATTCTGCTGTCTAAAGAAATGCAAGTGTTTCTGATGGTTCTAGTTTCATTTTCCTCTCAGCTACTTCTGGCTGGATCACTGCTAGTGTGCCTTAAAAGATTTGCCAAAGCTACAGGGTACTGTAGCAACATTAATACCACTCAAACAATTTTGTTTTGCAGACTTCTGTCATATTTAGGAAGTCTATTTCTTCTCTGAAACACTGTTATTTTTTAGCACTGTAGGTGTCTGAGGTATAATTCGTAGGCCATGATGTGCCATCACAAAAGAGGACTCTTTTATTTTTTTTTTCCAATATTCTGATGAAGTGTTCTGTAGTCCCAGTGGGTGCTCTGGACCGTGCACTTCTTGACAATCACCTTGTGTTCGTCCTGTTTCAAACAGAACAACATGCTGAGAACATCAAAATCAGACACAGAAATGAGAAAAAGATTGAGTTTATTCTCTGTTCATTTTCCATGAACTTAAATTGCTTAAAACTAAAAAAAAATCTGACATGGTTAAAAGTTTTCTTTACCTTTTGTTGTGTATTATGCTGTGCATGGCAGTGCTGGCATTGGCTTTTTGCAAACTTCTGGCATATCTCTTCATTCAGAGGGTCAATAAAACAAAACAGGCACATCCATCTGTTCTGATCTCAATGGCCATGACAGGAACAAAAAAAAAATCAACAAATAAACTGCTCTCTACAAAGAGTGTGGATGTCATGAAACAGTGTTTAGCTCAAGCCACAGCTACTATAAACCAAACTTATTTTAAGTGGATCCAATATTTGTAATTTATTTTTTTTATTAGATCAGAGCAGAGGTGGAAATAAGGCATTTAAAATACTTTAACTGGTTTGGTCTGCTGAAACTTAGAAAATTGCAAAACAAAATGTTAGCAGCTTGCAGACTTTATGGTACCTACAAAATTATGGCCAAAACATAGAAAGGTCACTTTAAAATATATTATTAAGCAATAAATCATGTTCTCAAAACATCTTATGTGGCAGTGAGGTCTGGTGCATGGATTGCTGATGGATAAATGTATACCCTAACTGTTTTACCAAAGTTTAAATGATTTTGTGACATGCAAGTAGGTAAATAAAGGAGCCTTTGAGAGTCTTAGCTGACAAGTAATACCAGAAATATAATGTCCTCTCTTTTTCCTAAGAAATTTGTAAAAATTGTACCATTTATGTGTTTATACATTTTTTCCTGACTTGTAACTTAGAAATCTGAAGTATGTGTTCTTAAAACAGGATCACTATAGATTTATATTGTTAGAAAACTAAGGACAAGCAGTCTTATCTCCCTCACTATTACATCAAGTATTGAATCGACTTCTGTACTACATAGGATAGAAATTACTACTGGGTGAACAATTTTGGCTTTAAAACTTTAGGTATGTTCAGTGCTTAGTATATTTGCCTTTGTCCATGTGACTGGGTTTTCATCAGTTTTATATCCTTTTATAAAATTTTCTAAAAGGAGTGGAAGAACAGAAGAGACGTCAAACCATGCACACGCACACACACTCGCAAAAAATTCTTACTGAGTAGACTTAGAGACTCCAAAGCCAGGAAATTCTTTCTTAAGTTTACCCTCTTGGCATGGCAGTCTAGATAGCATGTAATATTTGTCTCTCTTCCTCCTTTAATAGAGGTTCATATTACAAAGTGAATTTTGTTTCCTCTTTACTGAAGGCTAAAGTTCCGTTCATGACATTACGTGAAACTGTCCCTTTGTGGTTTAAGAAATAATATTTTTTCCATATTAGTCTGAAATAATATTCTTCTGCACAATTTCAGTTTTTAAAGTAGAAAAGCAGAAATTTTTAAATACAACCTTTTGTATATTTCACATCTTTAAAATTGCGGTCCTTTCTGGTAGCCAGATGTTTTTGTACTTTAACCCTTTAATGACCTATTACTCAATTCATACCCAAAACAGTTGTTTTCAATAATCAAAAATGTGGTATTGTACACACAAAAAATGATGTTTGTTCTGTTTAGCAATTGGTAAATCAGGCAATTTTTTATGCATGTACTAAGTACATACAGATTTATAAGCTAGTATCCGGCACTCTTTTTTTTAATGCTGCAGTGAAATACATTGCTTCAGTACTGTGCTTTCAAAAATGTATTGGCCCTCTATTTTAGCATCAAATAGCTGTCACATGAATAAGCTAGAAATTTTATGCCCTTCAGTTCCTAATGTTTTATAGCAGACTTGAGAGTACTTAATTACTTTTGAGACTATATTTACTAAACAGACAAAATAATTTATTTTTATTGTGTAATTATGTCATCCTAAGAAGAAATGTCAAAATAAAAATAAAAAATAAAATTTTACAGTGCAAAACAAAGCAATTTCTTACATTTACTTCCCAAATTTTTGATGGAAACTGGTCTTCAGTGATGGTGAAAATACTCCTTGGATATTCAAAGCTCAGCCACATTTTTACTGACTATTACAGCAAAGTAAATAAAGAAAATACATGAAAAGCCCATACAACAAAGAAACTACAATTCTCAAATCCATTTCTCAGCTAAGGAATCTACATATCAGTTCATATCTGGCTTGCAAGGCATAGTCTTTGCACTGGATAGCACTGAGTGGTTTTTCATGAATGAAAATGCCAGTATTACTCTGACAGGAGATCAGTATGTATTTTTTTTACACTGATTGTAATTTTTATGGCTTAATATGAGAAGTCTGCAACTTGGATGCATTCTCATATCTATAATATGCAGGAAAACTTTTTCATAAATTTTTGTGGCACTGCTTGTTACAGTAGAATTTTACAGTGTCCATGTTAAACTCCTTGTGTCTGCAGTGTGTTAGTAACAAATTTATCTGTCTAAGCCCTTGTCACCCCACAGAAGTAATTGATACTGCAGTTAATGTGAGTTGCAGGTCAATAGCTGATGACACAGCCTTCTCAAGAATGGATGTGCTGGAGGACATCATGCAAAGTCCTGTGATTTTGACGTAATTGTAGAATTTAGAAGCAGTTGTAGAGGAAGACTTAACAGTGGAAGGGATGGAAAGCAGTTCATGATTAAATTAAAATTTAAGAACACTTTTATTCTTGTTGCTTTAGCTTAAAAACTGTCTTATAGCTAGTATTTACATCTGAATGAAAGTGATCCCTAGACCAAATTCCATGGTGGATAATTTTTTTTTCATGCTTAAGTACTTTCTACTCTAGCACAACTCAACTCTTTACTGTAAGCATGTCTGGGCTGCTGTGAATATGAACTTATTTGCTTTTCTCTGTAAATAACTAAATTAGATTTTAAATCTGAACAATATTTCTGTGCTCTGTACAAGAGTACAACACAGCAGAATCCGATAACCAAGTCATTCAAAAATCTGCAATGCTTCTGGGAATGTTGATGGCAAAAATGAAGGACATTGCTATGGTTAAAATCCAGCAACATCCAACTTTTATCATTTTTGCTAACAATAGCTCTCCTGTTTCTAAAGCTGAAGTTGCACTTCTGTAATTTTTCTGGCCGAAATAGTGAGATTTTATTTTCTTTTCCCCTAACAATGACAAAATCTGTAGTGTGAGAATATGCAGTGAACATATTTTTAAATTTCTAGTATTTTTATTTGGGAATCTACCAGGTGCTATTTGGAACTAACACAGTTGTTAACATGTTTTTGTTAAATTATTACATTTAAAAACACAAACTCCATAGAGATACCTCTTTTAGAATAATTTTGCTGTCTGTTTTTAGGGACATGGCTCCTTGATAGGTGTTTTATGGGAGTAAGTACAACAATTGTTCTTGAGTAGTTTATTTTCTTCTCTCTTCAGACCAGAGTTGTTTTGATGTTAGACTGCTTTTCTCATCTGCCATCTAAAAGTGCACTAGTGTGTCAGAAGACATACCATAATTTCTTCACCTACCCACTGTCAATAATTTTGGTAGTTTATGTTCCCATGGAATTACATTAGTATTGATGGCAGTTGTTTCTTATAAGCTCTTTTCATATGACCTCTGACACTCTTGTTTACTTGTTTACTAAAATAAAAGCTACATAGTAAATGGACTAACATCAGGTCACATGCTGTCTAATTTTAAAGATTATTCTACAGGTCAAAGTAAATATCTCTTAGTACATTCGTCTAGATTTTCTGATTGCCAGCATTGATTCTACTATCAGTTTGTAGAAGGAAATGGTAAAGGATTGACTTTGCCACAATACCCCTGAAATATTATTGATTTGAGGCAAAAAAAGAGACTACAACAAATTTAGGACATCTGTCTAAGTGCTTAGTCTAGAACCTAAAATACTCATATTAAAAAGTGTATTTCTTCAGTGTGTTAATATCAAATCATCCTCCTTATAAACAGTTGCTGACACCTAAAATATTTTTGAAAAGTGCTACTGAAATTTGCTAAATGTGATCAAAAGGATTTCTGTATCACTCACATTGTTAAACAAGCATGGAACTGGGAAACGGCCCAATTTATGTTTCTGGCATGAGGCTCTTCACAGAAACCACCAGTGGTACAGTTTTGT